CTTATAAAAAAGATGGCGGCAAACTTTTTAGCAGGGCCTGTTGCAACAGGACAAGGGGGAATGGCTTGAAACTAAAGGGGGTAGATATAGACTAGATATTAGGAAGAAATTTTTTACGCAGAGGGTGGTGAAACACTGGCACAGGTTGCCCAGAGAGGTGGTGGATGCCTCATCCCTGGAAACATTCAAGGTCAGGTTGGACGGGGCTCTGAGCAACCTGATCTAGTTGAAGATGTCCCTGCCCATGGCAGGGGGGTTGGACTAGATGACCTTTAGAGGTCCCTTCCAACGCAAACTATTCTATGATTCTATAAGCAAAATAGAAAATGTAGCAGAAAATAATAGTGACAATCCATTATTATTGTTATTTTGATTCATGGTTGAATACAGCCTCATTTACCTTTTATCTTCTTGTTCGTAACCACATGGCTCAAACACTACTTATCAAATCCACTAATGGTGTATTTATTTTTGTTGACTGTGTTTCTAGCACAGATGTAGATGCATTTTACAGGCCCTGTATTGGGTACTGTTTTTCATTTTATGGTCTATTCCTTTCTGAAAACTAGCTGTGGCTCTCTTACACTAGTATAATCTGAAAGGGATGGTGAAAATAGACTGACTCGTTTCAAAGTCATGAGGAGGTATCTCCACTTCTCCAGGTTATCAGCTGCTGCCCCCCAATTTTGTACCATTCATGAATTTGCTGAGGCTGCATTTCATCCCACTGATGAAGATGTTAAACATATCAGCCCACCTCTGCCCAGTTAGATGTCAAACTGTTGACCCTCTGGGGTCAGCCAGTTTTCCACCCACCTCGCGTTCCGTCATTCATTGTATATCAAATGCATTGCTAAGGTCAAGGTAAATGACATCTACTGTTACACTCTTGTCCAAGTCAGCCATCTTCTCACTGAAAATGATCAGGTTGGTCAAGCATGATTTTTTCTTGGTAAAACCATGCTGACTGTTTCCAATCACTTTTTCATTCTTTCTGTGACTGGAAATGCCTTCCAGGATGATTTGATCAATAATATTCCTAAGGACTGAAGTTAGGCTGATTGGCCCATAGCTCTCCCTTGTCTTCCTTCTCTCCTTCTTCAGATGGCTGAGATGTTTGCCTTTTTCCCCTCAACACCACAGCTATTCAAAGGTGATGAAGAGCGGCCTTGCAACAACATCTGCCAGCTCTCTCAGCAGTCTAAAAGGTATCCTGTCTGATCCTGTGGACTGTGCATGTCCAGCTTGTCTAAGTAGTCCCTAATTAGATCCGTTGATACTGTAGGTAGTAACTCTCTCCCACAAAATTTACTAATGTGAATGGAGACCTGGTAAGACTGAAAACAGAATTTTTCAATAAAGACTGAGGGAGGGAGGCACTTCCTCTTCTCCTTCTCTTTATACTTAGTCAGTAGATCTCCAGCCTGATCCAGCAGCGGGCCCACCTTTTCCTTTTTCTTCCTTATGCTGTTAATGCACCTACAAGAAGCCTTTCTTGTTACCCTTCATATCCCTTGCTGGTTTCAATTCCAGCCAAGCGTAGGTTTTTCCAATTCTGTCCCTGCATGTCCTTGGTAGCTTGTCCCTGCTTCCATCTCCCGTTTACTTTGGTTTTGCATTTGAGCTCAATCATTGCCTCATGTAGGGTATGTTGCTGGACCTGATTTTGAGTCCTGCAGATGTGTTTATAGCTACAGTATATTAAAATGCACTTCTATTTTAAGCAACACACAGTCCCCCAAGAAAAAAGGCCAGAGACGCAGCTTGTCTTCTCATTTGGACAGAGTTGTCTCTTGCCTGTGCCAGGGGTAGTAACACAAGACTTTTGTGGATCAGCTCTAGTCAGGCTAGGGAACTTGCAGTGGCCATGAGGCAGAAACTTTCTCTCAACAAAGAGCACTGGAAGACTGATTAATAGGTTTCCTTCTCATGCTTCTCCTTGCTGAGTCAGTACGTAAATGGTACTCAGGTATAGTCTTCTGTGAGCCTTCTTAAGCCTGACTTCTCTTTAAAAAGGACCACCAAGAAAATGGCTTCAGTGCTATCACTTGACCTCCTCTCATGGCACTGTCAATATGCCTTTCTATGGTATCTTGAGGTTGTTATTTTTAGCAGAAATATTTATCAACTGCTCTTTGGAAATCTTCTTGCCAGTACTCTTGGCCTGGCCGCCTGCACTGTGCAATAGTTGGGCTGGCAGTTCTGCCATACTCTGCCTAGCTGCTTCTTGTTCTTTGTAAGTAGTCTCTCAGCTGCTGCTGTATTTGCAGTGATAAGCTTGGCTCTCAAGCCATCACCAGGCTACCTTGTTAGGATCCATCCTCTATGTCACATAAGATGCATCAGTAGGTAAGACTGAGTATCAAATAAGCCTGATAGCTTCATCTTGCAAGCCTGGTCCCAATGAATATTTATCGTGGCCTTTGGAGCTGGCAAATTTTTCCTGAGAGGGCTTTTTGGTATGATCCTGCACTCAGAAGGGTTTTTGATTGGAACAACAGCTCAAAACTGTAGAATAAGATCTCTCAAGTTTCATGAACAATTTTGTAGGACATGGCTGTGGTAGTGTCCAGCACTGCTCCACTGAACTTCATAGAGTTGGACTCAGACTGGACTTTTGTACATTTACCAGGTGACTCAAGTAGTCAAAAAGACATACCATTGTCTGTAGAGTGAGTGGCATCTGCTCAGTTGAATTCTCCTTTAATAGCCAACTAAAGATGAGCAACTACCTTGGGTAAAAGTTTTTCAGTCTTAACAGACCAATGAAATGAATAAATATTATTCTACTACTGTCATTTACAAAAAGGTAGCTTCAATGATCTCTTACTTGAAATTTCTTTTATCACTTAATTAAAAAAAAATACTTGATAATTACTTAAAATATAACATACTTTACTTAACCAAGAATAAGCTGGTGAATAGTGCTCCCATGAGACATTTCTGATCGAGAAAGGTTTGATCCAGATACTTGAAAATATCCATTATCTGTGTTGGTTTTGTAGGTGTAGTAAACACTCATGTCATCCCACAGCAGCCCAGGTGATAATGCTGCATTTATGTATATCATCCTCATAATAGAACTGCGAGGAACAGGTAAGTAAAAATTTCTTAAGCCCCAAAATTGTCTGTCTTCATTATAAACTGCCAGAAAAAAAAGTCTGAAGGACTGAGACATAGCTAACAGCCTCTATAGATAAAGAAGCAGTGTTTGGAAAATTTAAGAACTTCACTAAGTTTGCTGTGTCTCCTATTTTATTAAATGTTTCATTATATCCAAGATAAATCTCAGTAGGTATCCATGCTGCCAAAGTACTTAATTATTTTCCACTCTGTTAAAAAAAATGACACAGTGATTAGGTAAATAGTAACTTCTCTTAAAGTTTATATCAAGGATGTGCATTAAGAAATCAAGATGTTTTGGGATACATTTTCAGCTAATGTAATTAGGAGAGCTTCACTGAAATGAATTTACAAATTTAAGCTGTGATCCTAAAAATGATTTCATATGGCTGCATGAGCTCATGCAGTGAGAGCCACAGACAGTGCGCAGACCTTATTTCAAAATATTCTTTAAATAAACTTGTTGCTGTCTGGTCATTTCCAATTCCAAACCCAGCATTACATCAATGAAAAGTAGATCTAAAATAGATTCATCCAGACGTTTAATGAAGACCATCCATATCTTAAATGTCAAAGGAGAACTACAGATAACTTACCTGCACTGGATAGACAGATGAACAACAATATCTTGAATGTATTCCAGTTATTTCACTTTCAGGAAGCTTGTGTTCCGCTCCAAGTTTAAAAAAATTAGCTTCTCATTTATAAAAAGTACCATTTATTAAAAATATGATTCCATTATCAGTTAGAGCCACATTCGTTACGTTGTTATTTAGCCCTTGGGTCAAAGCATCTGAGGGAACTTTTATTTCTATGTAAGTTTTGAATCTATCATTTGTATAGAAAGTTCCAAAATTGGATAATAAAACTGCTGTTGTTAGAAAACATGCAGACCATTTAACGGAGAGGTCACTATTTTGGGAGGAACAGAGTGAGGTATAATTTTCCTTGCTAGGAAATGATTGTTTGGGCCTTGGAATTATAAAAGGAGTATCTAGAACAAAGCATTCCTGAAATACTGTTGGCTTTCCATGTATTTTTGCTACGATGTCATCAGATATTGCAGGTACATCAACAGTCCATAATCTGGAAATGGAAGAAACAACAGATAAACAGAGAAATTTGAAAGATGAAAACTTCAGTCAGTTGAACTGACTGAAAGAAACTCAGCTACATTATGAATGTCACGTTCTTAGAAGAACTGCACCTACAGTGGTACAAAATTATTTCCAAATTCTGTTCTAATTCCAGAAGTCAGATGATGAAATGAAATCAGGGAGAAAAAGATCAAAATTTGCCTGCAGTTGGACTTTAACTTCTAAACTTACAAAACCAGGCATATTCCTATCTCAGTGCTGTCTGGAAACTGTACATGACTGAAAGATCTGACTGAGAAGAGAGCATCTGGAGTTAAAAATGAATGGTTGTAACATTGTAACTCCATAGAATAATACAGCTTTCACTACTACTGAGGACACCTTCTCCCCACCTTTCCCACAACCTCCTTTGAGCTACTTGGAATGTGTAGAGGAAAACAGATTAACAAGAACTAATACCAAACCCTGTTGCAGATGATGATCAGGGCCACTGATAATTCAGCAAGAATTGTGTTGATGAGCAATAAGAGAAAATGGGGCTTAAAAGAGATAACCTATGTGTAGGAATAGGCTTATAGTAAATCATGCAGGCTAGCAAACCTAGTCATGAATCTTGGGAATTTCTAAGTCTTTAGGAAGAATTCTTAGTTTCTTACACACTCAGTGCGTGTGTATGTATGCATCACATCATTGACAGTTACACATGCATCCCTAATGCAGATATCCTAAGCACTGAAAGCAGAAAATGTTAGTATGCTTGGTAAGCAACTAACTTAGAGAATCAGATAAAAAAATAACAAATCATATTATGTAATTCTATATCCTTCGGCCTATATGCGTCACTTGCTCATGCTCAGTGTATTCCATAGAATTATTAATTAATTCTACTAATCCATTCATTGATGAGTTCCTTACAGATCAACAATCTGTGTGGTCCTCCCAGCTATAGGTACATAGCATACTGTCACTTTATGAGGATATACATTGATATGAACACAACTCTAGTAGCTCCAATACATCAAGTCCGGAGTGAGTTTGAAACTTAAGAGGTTTCCTTGACGAACATTCCCAGGAAACAGAGAGTGTGGATAATGCAAGTTAATCAAGACAGAGAAATTGTTTTTGTTACTTTTCAAAAAATAGTAGCTGCACAGCTTTCCAATATTACCTCCCTAACTTCAGTTAGCATAATACGACTCGTTCATTAAATACGTAGGATAATAATGGATCTGACGGGGTGCAAAAGGCCAGCCTCTCTGAAGAAGATGACTTGTTCAAATATCAAGGGAGGGCCCAACAGTTCTGTTGCACTACATCAGGATACAGCAGGGCTGACAGAAACTTAAAAATCGAAAAATTCAGCTCAGTATAAAGCAGACCGGGGAGGAGTATAAGCTTTCTAGTTTTGGCTTCTGGAGAAAACGTGATGCAGGACAGAACCTATTCATATTCTTACAAACTGTTTTGAGTTTACTGAGAAGCTGCTGCTGAGTTTCAGAGGAGACTTAAGAAGCCTAAGAGCCTCTCACTGGCTGTTTACCAAATACTGAGCAAAACTGAGTCTGTCCAATGTTCCAAAAGCAAAAGAAGCTGGTAGCTCAGTTAAGATTGGTCTTGTTTCTTTTTGTTTCTCTCATTTCGCTGGAAAATATGTCTCCTGAGAAACTGAGTTTGAAATTTCAGTTTTCATACCTTGTCTAGTGATAATCATCCTGTCCAGTCTGACTAGAATTTGAATTAGTCTGTGGGCTCAGTGCTTTCAAGAGGGATGCTAAGGAGACTCTTGCATAAGATTATTGGATACAAATTGTTTCAGCCCAAACTTACTTCAGTGTTTTTCTATCAACAGATGTATTAACTTGAGACTTATCTCAGTAAATGAAATATTTGGAAAGGCAAAAATGATGCAAATTCTGTTCTTGTAGATGTGAACACAAGTGCCACTGGCTTCAATAAAAGGTGTTTCCGCAAAATAACCAAGCATATGTGAGATGATTCAGATGAATCATCTTCCTTATTTGGAAGAAAAAAGACTGTTAATTTATAAAGCAATTTTATTTTCTCTTGCTTGATTATTCTGCACTTCAGTTGTCTAAAAAAGCATCAGTTAATACGATAGAAAAAAGTAATACCAGAACTCACAGCATTAAGAAACAATTTACTGAAATTGCCAGAATGCATATGTTCCCATTTCGGGGTGTGTGTGAATTATTTAAACTCTGCTGTGAAAAATGCGATAGAAAAAGCCCATCTCTGGTTATAGCAACTTTTGATATGGAGTGTTGCTATGTTGCCATCTAGTGATAAAATAGAAAGGTACAATAGATAACGACAGAGGGAGAGCAAACCAAACCTACATAAACAGTACTACCTACCCCATTAAAAGTCATACTCATTTCTTGCAGTATAATACATAACATTAATTACATGCTGAGAGTAAACTCTTTAAAAAAGAAGGTAAAGTCACAAAATAGTAGTAAACTTATAACTGGCATTAAGAGAGTGTGTAAAATGGGTAAGGGTCAGATGGCTAATATGCTGCAGGAAATGTCTGCAGTTGAGAACCCCTTGTAAAATGTAAACCCAGAGTCATTCTCACTACCCCATCACAAAATTTAGCTCTGATGTATTTGGATTAGCTTCACTGAAGGCCTACATAGGATAAAATTTTACAGATCACAAAACTTGTGACAAATACCTTTGCTACACGTAACTCCTGGTATGTTCACATCACTATTATTTACTGGTTTGTTCTATTTTCTCATGAACTCACAATCAAATAAAAAACGTTTATTTTTGTCACTGCTGACCCATTGTGTTTTCATGTCACACTGCAAAACATGGTGAATACTACATACTCTTGGAAAGGAAAAGAAGTAATTGCCCTCAAATGCAGTAAGCAGTGATAAAAGTAGAGCAACTGACAGTATGAGAGTCCTTATATTAGTTGTAATATTTATGGGTCCAAAATACTAGAAATAACAGTGCAGAAGAGTTTCATCAGGGGCTCCAGCACAGAAAAAACAGGAATCGAAGGGGATGGCACTGCCTCAGGAAGCTCTTCAAATGTCAGGTTTGTCTGGATTCATGAATTGCCTTTTTGCGACTGTCCAGACTCACCAAAATCTTACCATAATCCCTTTATTTATTTCTAAGAAAACTGACAATAGTTGCTTGTGAAAAGAAAGAAACTCATTCATCCTTTGGAATCCTATATGATGTTCCTAAGAAAAAAGCTCCTGTGAATGTCACCTGATGGTGGATGCTGTAGTACGAGGAGGTTCTGGGATCCCTTTCACTTTTCCCTCACCTTCCAACCACTTCCTTGCTATTCTATTTCCTATCCAGAACATGCAAACCCCCAGTCAAAGCATGACTGTAATATAAGCAAGCATTAAAAGAAGGATTAATACTTTGGGTATTATTTTATCACATATGTTTAGAATCATATTACTACGGCCATTGCTCTACTACTGCTCATCAAGGTTATAGTTAACTGTTGATTTGCAGAAAATGCTGAATTCTTCAGCAACAGGTGAAAGAAAACATCTAAGATGTGGTACTTGGCACAAATACCTGAACCTTATCCTAAACAAGCTAGCAGAGACACTGGAATAATTTTAATTGAACCTGAATGATACTCTGCCTGAGCTACCTTACTTCTTTTTTGAAATTGTGCCTGAAATATCAGCACATAAAGTAAAAATGTGCAACGCCCACTTAGAAGTCTAGAGAAGGGTGAAGAAGAGTATCTGTCCAAGATTTTTTTCTAAATGAGGATGAGATGTTTGATACAATACCTCACACACGTTCTGAACTTCCAGGAATGGCATGCCTGAATGGGGGATATGTTTAACTTCGAGTCAATACCTACAACTTGACAATTAAGACTCACAGACCATTCATTACAGTAAAAATGTTAAGTGGTTTTTGAGTCCAGTCTTGCTTTCTACTCCATGAGCTTCTATACATATGAAGTAGAACAATTACATACTGTGAGTTTTTTTAGGACTGAAAGGCCTATGTAAGTTTAAGTACTATGGTGAATGAAACAAAGGGCAGCTAAACCTGCCTAGTAGATGACAAGCTGTCTTCAAAGAAAAGGAAAAATGGCAAAATTATTACCGAAGCACAAAGTTATCTCAAAGTAGAAAAAAGAGGCCCAGATATGGGCCTCTCATCAACAGCTCTCATCATGGCTCTACTCATCAACAGCTGTTTGTAGAGTTGCAAGTGCAACAATTTTTAATAGCATTCCACTTAAAAAATACAAATAAAATACCATACCCTAATTTTGGATGCTCCTGAGAACAGTACTTCTCTTTTTTCAAATAGATATGAACAACAGGTTCCTGTCCCAAATTCCAAAACAGTCTTCCAAGTATCTGAGAACTCTGTTTAAGTAAAATAAATGTTATTATTAATTATATTTTTGTCCAACTAGTATAAGGCTGTTTATGACAACATTTCTCTTTTGAAATTATAAAGTTGGAATAAGCTTTGCTATTATAAAAGACATTTTCAAACAATGACATACCATTAAAATCATATTTACTCAATCTATTCATTTCAGAATACACAACACTCAGAGCCAAGATCAGTTTTCTCTGTATTGTTTCCGTAGCAGCAGACAGAAAACAAAACCACTTTCCTAACATCTAATTATCTAATAACAAAAATGCCTTCACAATGCAATTAATATTGCTACCTTTTTCTTCTGTTTCATTTTAATCTTGAAGATAGTAATGTCAATTATTAAACAAATGTTAAAAATTTAAAAGATATAATGATGGCAACTTAATAAAAACCCCTAAATCCTGGTGCCATGCATGCATACCTCATGTCAGCTACTGTACCAATGACTAATTACTTTCTGCCATTCGTTTAGATCAGAAACCCACTCCTAACAGAATTTATTGTACATATTAGTCCCTACAACTAATCCATGTGGGATAATCTCTTGAATGAATCTCCGTTCAGCTTGTACAATAGGTTGTCACATTTTAGGTCTAAATTAAACCAGTAAATGGACATCCCTGTTTATCACGTGTCATGTCTTCCACAATGCTTTTGCTTAAACTTTTTTCCAACAGTTTGCTATGCAGGTGCATGAGGAAATCTGAAAAGAGACTTCTGTTTAACTGTCACATGTTACTGCCAGTTACAATTTCTGAATATAATTTTCACAAAGACTCAAATTTGACTCAATCACTAAAACTTGCTAATTATTCTATCTCTATGAAATAGACAATAGGTTTCACCTCACTCATTATACATGTGTTACTGCTGCAGTATTAACAGGAGAGAAAATCTTGCAAGTTTATTTTTCCTAACACAGTAAAAGGAAGTAAGTAAAGATGTATGCAGGCAGTATATTTCAGTAAGACACTTCCACTTTCAACTGGTAAATTTTCTCAAGACATGCATTTTAACCTTTTTCTTAAGTGGCATCATTTCAACGTACTTGTGATGGAATAATTGCAGTGTGGTTCAGTTTGGAAGCATCTGTACTTTCAGGATCATATATCCACAAAATTAACTTCTAACAAGTAAAAAAGAGACACAAGTTGATAGTTTTTTAACAAACGCTAGTATTCTATCACTGTGATAGCACTTCTTGTGAACACACATAAGATAATGTAATAATATTAACTTAGGCAACGTGTATGCTGCAAGCTAGTCTTGTACTCTTTGTTTCTTTTTGATGTGAACAGGCAATAACAACTGAGGGAAGCAGCACCTCCTTTTCTCAGAAATAAAGTGGGGAAGAGTAAGAATTTATGCAGAAGAATTTTTTGTCCTCTGATGCTGTCATACTTCCCTCAGAAGCCCTTCCTCAGTCTCTCTCCATTCTTGTGGGCTGTGCAGCTATATACAGCCTGTTCTCCTGCAGCAAAGGAAGAGGGGTTACTCACTGTTAAAACAAAACAGAACTTGTTTCTTGCCAAGGAAATGTTACAAAGCTGTTATTTAAATGTGCATCATGTATGCTTCCATGACTGGCACATCACTGACATACTGCTCTTTCAGTCAGGAAGAAGGCAAATACCTGGTATTTCCATCTCATGGTACAATGCAAAGGGAATAATCAGTCATTCAGTGAGGCAGACTCACCACCTTTACCACAAAGTATAGCAGTGTAAGGAGGTGCACAGAGGCAGTTATCATAAAACAGCTGACATGCTGCAAGTTTACATCCTACAGTTCTCATCCTGCAGTTTCATATTCATCTACTCAAATCAAAATGCCAAGTCTTGCAATCCGCCCTTAGAATAGGGCAAGCTGAGTAATCATACAGCTGCTTGCTCAGAGGTGGCTGAGTGGAAGAACTTGCACAGGGAGAATATAAGCTTGCTTCCACAGCTGTGAAGTTCAATCATTTTTAGCAGACTGCAAACTACTTATGAATTCAGTTTGTTAGCAACGACACTTTTTTATTATTTAAAGTTTTCATATTTCCCCACATGATCACAATCTCTCTTACAGTCAAAGAGGGGGTGAGGTAGGAAATAACTTATGTTATCATCTCTTTAGATTAAATTTGGCAGATGTTACGAAATAAGGAATTTTATAAACAAGATGATACTAGTTTACTGTACCAATGGAATGTTTAATCAGATTCATTGTATGGCACACACATTTTAAAAATCTCAAAGAGTACACAAATTCAAAGAAATGAGTAACAGGTTGGTCTGCCAAAGTCTTGCCGTTAATCAGCCTGAATTTGTGTCAAAATTGTATTCCCTAAAAATGAGAGAAAAAATTGGAGAAGAGATAGATTAAGATACAAGGCCAAAGAACACATTCAAACTTAAAGTGACCTGGCTTTCACTTATGGACAGTGGATCTGTTCTACAAAAACAATAAATTACATATTACTTTAAAATATCATTAAAAAGCTTGCTATTGAATAAAACTATTTTACATGAATCAATCTGCTTGTATGAGATGTGTATGCAGCGTCTAAAATAATGTTTTTAATGTACTGGCTTTGGTTGTTCCACTGCATAAATATTTTAATATTTAAAGAGAGATCCATATTTGCTGGATGTTTCTCATTTAAAAACATACTCTAAGCATCTTTCATAGGCTTTTTATAACGTAGCTTCTCTCTTACCAAAAATATGTACTATTTAAATAAAGTGCATCTTCTGAAAAGTTCACCTTATTTAAAGTTATCAGATTCAGAAGATCAGTTTGCAAGGAAGTATACCTGCTGTATCAGAGCGCACAATGGAGACCCTGTGTTGTGCCCTATATGAGGAGAAGACTCGCCTCTCCAGTAAGGGAGACATGTCCCTCTCTGTAATGACATGACGGGGAGCAAAGTGCTGCTTGTGTTACAATTAGGGCCTCTGAGTCTTCTGCACTCTTGCCGCTGGAATGGGTAAGGTCCAGGGGCGAGGGAAAGGCAGAGAAACTGCTGTATCTTGGATGTCAGAAATACAATAGAATTAGGATTGCATGAAATCAAACCCCATTAAACATCCTGGATGAAATGTTAATTCTGATTAAGTCAATGCTAAAACATCCACTGCCTTCAAAAGAGGTTAAGAATTCATCCATCAGTTTAAGTGGAAAAAAGAAGCTGTAGACAAGGATCAGAGTTTATAATACGAAGCATGTTTTAATCACCACTCAAGTAAAATGTTAAAAATCTACTGATTATCTTCAAATTTGCTGAAAAAATTCCATAGGACTACAAAACTAAATTTGCAGTTTTCAGGCAAAGACACAAGTAATTCTAACTAGTGTGACTGAAGTAGAAGAAAAAAGTCTGATCTATGGTTATTCTAGGATGAGAAAGATTGCTGCTATTAAGGCTGTCTTTGGCTTCTTGTCAATCACATTTTGTTTAAGTTTGGTAACTGAACTCAGTGCATTCCTTCCAGCAAAACAAAACAAAAAAAGCAATTAACTGCTCCTTTCTGCAGTAATATCTGGGAAATGTACGAAGACATCCACAGGCAACATTAACACTAATCAAAACAGAAAACATGCAAGAAAGTTTACCCTGGGGTTGACAGAAAAAAAATCCGAGTAAGTGGCTTACTAGCCTACTATAAAATAAACAGATAAAACAGTTACATGGCTTTGAGGGCAAGCACATGCTGCTTTGCATTACACAAGAGTTACCAGAGGGGTTCAAAAACTGTGGAAAAGAAAGCTACTGCTATTTATTTCTACTATGTTTAGAGAAACAGGATTTTGTATACATATTTCATAAGCAAAAGTATGCCATTAAAAATATTCCTAACTAGTATTACAGATGTTTTCCTCCTAAGTAAAGCAAGCCAAACACTGGCAAACTCCATGGATGGTAGGAGCAGAATACAAGTTACTGTTTTTGCCTAAAAACTACTGGTTTTATTCAGGAAATCTACAGAACTTTTTCAATAGCGTCACGACCATCAGTCTTTTTCTTTCCTTTTTCCTACTGCTACCGAGTATAAGGTGATCATAGCTCCAGCAGGGCTTCCTACACTGACGACGACCAGGGTTCCTGTCTGGTCTTACTATGTTAAAATATGCGCCCTTGTGCTTCACTATTCATTTTTTTCTTGATCTGTCTAGCACGCGTCAAGAGCATGCACTCTCCCACCACGCAAGTGACACCTTCTCTTCAATTATTTTTAATTCCTATTTGTTTGAGCACATGCATTTTAGCTGCAACTTCACTCTGACATAGCCTTCTTCAGAGATGTTAAAGTGTGCAGGGAGACATGCTTACGTTGTAAGGTTTAAAAATCATTACTTTACGGAGCAGGATACATACACATACTTAGACAAAAGAATAAAGTCTCTGCCTCATTTTCCTCCCTTCTTTTGAGCATTCTTTGGAATCCTGCAACCGCATCGAAAATATTTTTATTTCTACAGTTGACTCCTTTCAAGAAACATGTACTTCTTTCTGGCCCCTGCAATCAAAATCCCCCTGATTTCTACACTAGATAGGAGGTTCTTCAATAACCTTCAGACCTGTTAGACATATGTCCTCCCAAGTCTGCCTCTTTAGAAGAATAAAACACCTTTTTCTTTGTAATCTATTGCTCATGAGCTGCCTTCTGCAATTCTGTCTTGAAACACTGATTTACCTTGGGCAATGGCTGGCTGTGTTTTTGTTCAGTGCTACATCTGAATCCACATGTCAATACCCTTCATTTTTGGACCTGTACTAAGTACAAAAGCTCTTTTCACCTTCTATGGATTTTAATTCAATATGGAAACGAGAGTTCTCAATTTGACCCATACGTATATATACACACAATACCCAACATTACCCAAAATTCATAAATTCCAAACTGTCAGGTTTTTCATTTATTCAAACAGGTCATTATTATCCCTGTTAAAAACGTTACTGTTATTTATTTCAAAAAATATTTACATAGAAAAAAACCCTACCTGTCTGTCTGTGAAGCTGCCGTCACGTACCACATGAAACAACTAGAACGATCAGAAGCAGACAAATACCACTCTTTATCCTCAAATGTCTAGAAGACAGAAACATGTTTTGCTTTGATATACTGTCTCCTAGTGCTATTGGTTTATGTTTTACTTGTATCAATATATACATCTACATAATGCTTTATTACTTACAAAAAAACTTTGATTTATGAATAGTTCAATTGAATTCATTGAGACTATTCGTGGACACACAAGCATGCTTGGAAACTCAAGGTCCTAACGCCTTGGTCAATAATCACATATGTAGATTACGACTCATCACAGCACTTGCTACCTCTTGTTCAACCAGTAGTTGAAAACTCGAACAGCTGAAGCTATTCTGGAATGGCTCAAGAGATACTGGTAGGAAATCGAAATATTAAAGGCGACAAGAGAGCTTGAACACGTGGGTAGGATTTAGGATTATTTAGGTAGAAAGGGTGAGGTGAGACATAAATGGAAGAGAACTAAGGTTTTGCACTGGGAAAGGGTCACAGGAGAAGGAGCGAGTTAGAGAACACAAACAAATAGGCAACAATTAGTTTTGATATTAATGAAATAAGTTGCAGCAACCCCATCTGGTAAGAGAAAATATGAAATTAAGAGAGGTTTCTTACATGAAATGTGTTTGGTTTTTTTTTTAAATGCCTGTATATTAGATCTTTTCTGAATAGAATGCACTGCATTTATGCAGTTTACATATGTTTCTGTGCCACCTTAAATGGAGATGTACATGGGGACATAGACCCAATACTATTCACTTCTTTATAACAGTCTTATCTAATGAACAGGGATTCAACATGATATGGCAAACTTCCTTAATCCCTTTAGAAGATATTATAGTTCCTTCTAGTCAGTGATCACAATAAGGATTCAGCATGAGCTTCTTCAGATCCAAAACCAATTACAATTCAGATCCCAAAACACCACTTATATTCTTTACAGAATACTGAAAAAATCCTAATTAGTCAGATCCCAAGTTTTTTGTGGTAAACATGGTGGAAATCTGTGACAATATCCACATAATCTGGTCATTACAAAAACTACTGTGAGAAAGCTGAGTTTTTTTGCAGCTATCTATGATAAGCAGCTGCCTTTTGTCCCCAGAGAAGATATGGGATGCAGATAGGTCTGCAGAGCAAGCAGAGTAACTGGATGTTAAAGGGATAAGCATAAAATATTTAGTATTTCAATAAAATAAAAGAGGCTATCAGAAATCTCAGAATTCAGTGATTCATCATGCAAGCAAATGCACCATCTCTAGACTAGTTAAACTCTGTTCTTACTTGGAAGTTTTCCTTCACAACCTTTAGAGATAAAGATGGCTTATTTTGTAACTAGCATATTCAATTCTAGAGCTCCATTTCACAACAAACTATGTATGCTATGAGAGACATCTGCATCCAAACCATCACCGAGTACACAATGATCAGACCACAATTAATTTTCTCACAATTCATTTTCACAGCTTACCTCAGTCTTTACTTTTGGTTTTACTCTGTAAGTCCCAGCAAATGGACAGTTCAGTGTTGGTTTTGGTGAACTAAAGTTATTTAAAAAATAAAAACCACACATAACACAAATGTTTAACACTAGTGAACATGAGATATGTGCATCTGAGAATCTATTTAGATTAAAACTTGAAAATTTAGGATTTCAGGGTCCTCTTCATAAGTTTGTGCAAGAGAAAAACCCTACATTTCTACTAAACAGAGAATACAATCTGGCAGTTCAGCACTCCACTGACAGACAATCTACATCTCTAAGACTCAATGATTATAATTTTAGGGCATTATTTATAAGCACATTGGACCAAATTAAAAAAAAAAAAGAAGAAGAATGTGAGAGAAACTTGAGCCTAACAGCATGTAAAATATTCATTAAGCTTTTGGCTCAAGTTTTTTCTTACATGTATGTGAGACAACCTAGCTACTGTACAGTATCAGTGACACTTCAGGGAACCACAAGATGACTGCCTCTCAACAGCTATATAAACAAGCCCCTTAATGACAGACAACTGGCAGGGCACATCTCCCAGCCCCTGAGCGCTCTAAGAATGCGGTATGGGTCATTCTAGAGGCCTGTACATCCTGATCGCCTGCCTTTAAGGTCATGCTTCACCCCATTCACCAGTTTAGTCTCATCCTATCTTGTGCCAAAACATTAGATAGGATTAGTAGCGAAAGAAATTAAGGATTTATCAGGACTCGGGTATTACGGGTTACAGGTTAACACAGACAAAAATCTTTATTCTAACCTATATTTAACAACCAAATACAATCTTGGTTGATGCAGGAGCTCTCACCCACAGCCCTTGTGGCACTTTGAAGAGATGGTGAACTCAGGGTGCTGTTTTCAAACAGATAAAGCTGATGTAAACTGGGGCTACTGTGCTCCCCTCCCTTGAGCTGACACTTTTGCAATGACCCAGCTAAGAGAACTATTCTAACCAGAAACCAGACCTAGGAAAAAGGAAAACTTTCAGCCAATTCAGGATCTTTCTTAGTCAAATATTGTGCAATATTTGGCATCCTGTTTTAATGAACAGAATGACAAAAAGGATTCATACATTCATTAGGGGTTTTTTTTGTTTCCCTTACATAGTTCTTCATTCTCCCTGACTGAGAGAGACATATTCTGAGAAATTTATAAATCTATAAAGTCCTGCAAAAAATTAATCACCCAGTATCTACCACACATGCATTCTACTAAACTTTTAATGGCTGACTGTCGAAGGCTGAGACAGAGACAGAACACAGTATCTTTGTACACACTTAACGTATTGTAACACTCAGGAACAGGGAACTTATTTACACCTGCCTTAGAGGGTAAGCTGCTGCTCAAATCACAAGAAGCAATGA